AAAAGAAAGTAGAGCAAAGTAGAGGAGGAAAAAGAACAACAAGAAGCCAGAGGAAGAAGAAGAAGAAGAAGAAGAAGAAGAAGAAGACACCACGAGAATCCAATCTTAAAAAAAATTCGAACGCCAAGTGGCATTACAAAAAACATGGTGAAAATCACTGGCGGGGGACATGGCAAAGCAGCCATGTGACTGGTGACCAGTCGTAACCAAGGATTTGGACAATTATTATGTATTATATATTTAATTTTAAATTATGAGGTACTATACTTCACCCCTAGCGTAGTCGAGAGCTCAGGGCTATTCAAACCTGATAGCCCCCAGCATGCAGAAAATGAAGTCGTCCCAGCCACCGCAATTCTTGGGGGGCGGACGACTGTTCACAAGGGGGCAGCAAAAGGGGCCAAGCCTCCATCGCTGCTGTCATAGAGGTAAAAATTAAATGGAGGCAACACTAATACAAAATTGGTTGGCAGATCGACAGACATAGCCCCTTAAATTTTGCAAGGACAAAATGAACCCAGTCGGCACGAACCTGGTCATCTGGGCTTCCCCCCCCGCGCCCCACCACGGTCCCCCCCGTCTGCCTTCTCCCGCCCCCGGCCTCCCCTGCAGATCATGGCACCTTGGCATCTGCCTACCGTCTTCCCCCAAACACAACGCACCCTCATTTCGACTGTACGGAGCCCGAAACGTAGCTTCTATACATTCATAATTAGGCTGCATTGTATTCGGCGCGCGGAAGACGGTAATCTTAGCATTCCCAAACAGTGTCACACAGGGCCGTTTATGTACTTCCTCAAAACGAATACCTATCCTTCTTATGCTGTCTAATCGAGCCTCTCAAAAGTCGCAAGCAATCCGATCTGGACGGCTGACATAATCTGCCGGCCAGGAAGTCACCCGGCAAGTCCCTTCCACCGTCCAGTACTTGGTATACTATCTGGTATATACCATATAGTGTATATCCATACCAATCAATCAATCAATCAATCAATCAATCAATCAATCAATCAATCAATCAATCTCAGCATTGAAAGCTCAATGAGAGATGCGGCGACCGTTTTGAAACAATTCCGTGTATCGGTCTAGTACTGTCTCTATGATCTATCAATCTCATCTCTTTTTACTTGAAACAAACTCGGATAGATACTGACACGGTTTTCAAAAATCTTGGCATCTATCGGCAACCAAAAATTAGTACCTGTCTTTGTCTATCTATCTACGTATCTATCTATCTGTCTATGAAAATGGGTGGGGGTGCAGGTGAGGGGAAGTTACAAAAAAGGGACTGCATGAGTAAAAAGATACGCATGCCCTGCCCCCTTATCTCTCTATCTATCTATCTATCTGCGGGCAGCGTAAATAACCTGAAGTCCACCCACATTAGGAGGGAACAGACAAACAAAATTAATTTAAAAGCACTACCGTCGTTGCTCGAGCACAGTGTTAAGGGTAATAATACTTGGTCGGCGGCGCAGTCTGGGCGCTGTTGACATTAAAGAGCGATACCTTGACGAACGCCTTGAGGAAGTCTCCGCTGAATAGTCCAGGCGAAGTGGCGTACTGAGTTATGAAAGCTGACGTTCGGGGATGGACAGCGAATGCTTGATCTGTTCTCAGAAGCCCTTGGTGCTTMAGCAGCAGCTGGAAGTAGCTGGTGTCCAGAGAGAAAGGAGTCCGAAAGTCGAAGGGCAAGCGGATGTCCTTGTTGATGCTGCAGTGTCGCGCCAATTTGCAAGCCAGACCCGGATCGAGCGTCGGATCCGCCGGCTGCAAGCAGCCCGGACGAGTGCTCTCATTGCTCAATCTCGAGCTGAAATGGATGCAATCGGCAACCCCGATACTGTGGCCGCCTATGGACCACACGGTGCTCTCCTTGTCGGTTAAGCCGAAGGTAGCAAACAATGACAAAATGGCGTCCAATGACTGGTTCTCGTTCGGCAAAGTAGTCGGTTCATTGCCAGGCTCATTGGGAGCGAGGTCCCGTCGTCCCAAGTCGAACCCAACCGAAACGACATCGTTGAGGCCGGTGAAGGTGACGGCCGCAGCGGCAGCTCTGGCTATGGTGTCGGCCAAGGTCGGAAGCACGCCGCATGCTCTTCCCGCCTTGTCTCGAATGCTGTGGATGTCGGGGACCACCCGCTTCAAGTCGGCGTTGACGGCATTGTTGATCTCGCGATCGGTCAGAATAGACGCCTCGCAGCCGCCGCCCGTCGTCATGCAGTCGTGGAAAACGAGTCGCAACAGCGTCGCAGCCTTCGTCCGATCGCGCACGACTACGGCGGTAGCAAACTTCTTGATAGCTGCCATAAGACACTGGGCATCTCCAGGATAGTAAAGAGAAGAATCGAGAACACCTTTGGTGGGGTTAGAAGAGTATACCGGAGGAGGAGGGCGATTATCAGGACGAGGATGAACAATCACAACGCTGGCAGTCTGGGCAGCGACCCCCGCCGCAGAGAAACACAAGCAAAAAAGCAGGCAGAGGGCGTACAGGCAACTACCTCCTCCTCCTCCTCCTCCTCCTCCTCCTCCTCCTCCTCTTCCCGAACACCGAAACGCAGCACTCGACAGACGATCCATCGGGATGACGACCTCGCAGAAGAACCAGAATGTGAGGAAGGACAATGTGTGCGAGAATGGGTTCGTTACCTACAAAAAGAGAGAGAGAGAGAGAGAGAGAGAGAGAGAGAGAGAGAGAGAGAGAGAGAGAGAGAGAGAGAGAGAGAGAGGCTATGGGTACTCAGCGAACTGCGTCTCCCGTTTTCGAACGTCCGCTGCGTGAGGAGATCGATGCATTGGCTGTGGGGCCGAAGTCCTCTTCAGC